TCCAAAGTAACAGCAGTATCAGGAATATGCAGGGCCCTATGCCATGACGTAGAAGCAATGTATTCATCCTTAACATTTTGGAAGGAATCACTTTCATCTGCATATCGGTCAAGCCAGTAGCTTGAGTGCAACTCAGTAGTCAACTTGTGCACCAGCCAGTCAACTCTCTGGAGTGCACCAAGGTGTGAGTCATCATATAGTTTGACTTTGAGCTTGACATGATAAGCTTCTATGGCACCAGATGCCTCCTGACTTGCAAGTGGAAGTGTTTTCATTGTTGTAAGCCACATTTCTGTAGGAACAAAAAACAAGAACAAAGTTAGAAACAAAAATTGTAAGCACGCGCACGTGTGAGGTGTGTGTGGGTGACAGAAAGCAACAGAGAGACATCTAACCAATCTTGGGCACCCAAGTGGCCTTGAAGTACTGTACAAAGGCAGTTTGATCAACAAAATCCTGGGTCAATTCTTCTAGAGCAACCACATAATTTACTCCACCCCAAATACTGTACACTACTTCTCCCAGCCGCTTAAATATCTCTCGCTGGACTTCAATGTTACAACATTTCTTGACAATATTCCTCAGCCACGATCGACGAACACGCCAGAGAGAAAATAGGACAGGGCAAGAAAATGTCTCTCTGAAAGGGCAGTAGTACATATAAATGAGTTGTACTGCGTCACAAGGCTAAGGGTAAGTTTAAACAGAAAAATCTAGAGCAAAAGCATCTTGCCTTATGGGATCAATCTCTGCAGCAGCATCATCAACTAAAAACCCATTGACCTTCCATCCAGGGTCAACAGCAATAACACGGCCTAGCAGAGCTTTCATCCAATTTGAAACATCTGGCTTGGCAATGCTACGAGTAATGATCCAAGCAACAGGAAGAGCATGTTGTCTAGAGTCAAACACAAGAAGCGTGCACAAGGGGTACTGCCATTCAAAAAGATTATGAAATAAAAATCATCTCCAGTAGGTTTCATAAGGCCTATGCAAACAAGGATTCATAGATTAAATACCTTCAGTCTCTTTATGCCAAATGTTGAATCAGTTGCTATGAGACTACGATGACCGAAACGAATCATTTGCTGTAACTGCCATTCAGTTTGGATACCCAAAATAAAAGGTTTTGTTTCTGAAGTATCCTGATAAAAGAAAATAGATTTCTTGTTGCGTTCAACCCACATTCGAATGCTAGCTTGATCATCCAGATCCAATTCATGGGTAGAACGTTTGATAATCATCCCCAGTTTTTGGACATACTGAGAAGCAAGGCTGTTGACTTTCGCATTAGAACCACAGTAACGCTGAATTCCTTCAATGTGTTTCTCTAATACATTTTCCTCAGGAATACCAAGGTATATCATAGACATAGTTTGCTGTTGAATCTCACTGCATATGTATGGAATTTTTTTGGCACCAGGTCCAATCGCATCTCTGTCAAGTGGCCCATGGCAGACAAAACCAGATTTGTTTACATGACGCCTATCATTATATATAAGTAGTGCAAGAGATGGGCGGGCATAGAGACGCTTCACTACAAAATGGCATGTACAGCCCCTCATGGATTGAGGTCTTGCAGCACGGTTTCGAGTGTTAAGTCGATATCGTCTGCTTGGTAAAATACCCCCACCTTCTCCGTAGTTTTCAGGACCAAAGGAACACCAGTACCTTCAGAAAGGAAAATAGGAAAGGATAAATCATGTGGCAACTTGATAAGTTACTTGAACAAAGCTGTTGCGAGCTAAATAACAAGCAACATATGATTCACAGTATTCTTTACATGTGAACCTTTTATAGTCTACCCTTTGAACATAAGCATTGACTTTTTAAACCTCAATAGTAACTTAAGTGAAACCCTATTCAGAGTATCACGAATATTTTGCCACTTATAAAATCATGTTCATATCGATAAGAACTTTTAAAATTCGAAAAAGTTGGAATGACAAAAATCAAAAAGAGCAACAAAGTTCAAAACAGTTCCCTAAATGGCTAAATATAATCAAAAGATTGGACAAAATAGACTACCTAATTGGTGTAAATATTTTTTTTTTGTGGATAAGTCATATTTGCTGTAAACAATTAACTCTCCTCAAGTAACATTTACATGGCAGGGGAACCTCATTTCCCTGATATAAAGGAGGAGCAAGAAGGATATGAAAGACTAAGCAAACCGAAAAACTTACAGCCTGTATTCCAGATATTCATCATTCTTGTATTCTTTTAAACTGCCCTTTGATCGTTTCCTTCCCCTCTCAATATGGAACCGTGTTGGGCATTCTATTTTAGAACACTCTCCAATTATAAATGCATCAACTCGGGCATAAGGAATAAGGGCTACATCATCATGACGCTCTGCACTTCCAAATTTGGTCCAATTCAAATCAGCAGAAGAGAACTCCTCCTCAGATGGATTTTGCACAGGTATATTGACGATAGATTCAATGATATCCATATGTTGTAAAACAGCTATCAGAGTATCTGCTAATTGGTAGAATTCTTGATCCAGCCACACATTCACCACCACTAACTGCTTCATGTTGCAAAGATCAGTTGAAGAACATATATAAGTCATAAATTGAAAATTAGTAACCAATCATATTGTCTGATTATTATCAGGTCTAAGACTCATGAAATTTGCCATATATTTCATATCAGAACCACCAGGAGAAATGACTTATGGATGTAAAGTAGAACAATCATTATTGGTCAGGCAAAGAGAAGTAAAATGGTGAGGGAAGTATCATGCTCAGCAATCATACATTTACGGAAGAGATAATAGAAGACCAAGAAAATTTTGGAATTGTAGCCCTATTCATTTAGCATCCATTCTAACTTGTTCATATCCCCCTAAAAACTATGTGACAGATCATGCACGTTTAACTGACAGTAATTACAGAACCAAATATTTTAACAATATCATGTCATAAACCTGGTGGGAGCTAGTCCTCAAATTTTCTTCTCTTTGAACAAGTATTTCCTGTGTCCCAAAGTCTCGCTTTGAATTTAGATGTATGACCTACTCATTGGTGCTCAAATTGATATCAGTAACTTGAGCCTATTTAGCAGCTTCATATAAAAATGCAGTAATGTTCATTTCCTTGGAGTTTCTAGGGCTTTAGGAAAGGAAACTAAGTCCTCGTTTCCTATTCGAGAGAGTTGTAAATGTGTATGAGGCACATATGGATTTTTTAGGGTTGTATGATGCCTACAAATAGCTCTATAGATACAAAATGAGACCAGCCTCAAAGAGATGGAAAAAAAATTCGCAATTAAATCAAGCACTTAACTTGTGATCCCTTTCCTTCGCACCGCCTCTTGTCTTTCTCATCTTTGTCTCATTTCTTTTATTTTCCTCACACAAAACCTCGTCAAAGTCCTCTCCTCTCCCTCAGTCTTTTCACTCTTCAACACTTCCTCTGCTTTATCCTGTTTCCATATCTCTTAAATTCCTCTTTTCTTATTACAATTTTTATTGTATTAAAAGGACACGGTAGGAAATTACATAGACAGACTTGAAGGGAGGAAAATAATAGGATAATGTGGAGATCTTCTCGATCTCCAAGCACCATAAAAATTCAAGGCTCTGCAACAAGATGAGAATGGTGTATCTAAAAAGGTGGTCTTCAGATTGACAAAAGTTCATAAGCGGTAATTCATAACCAATTGTTTGAGGAATAGGAGGAAATTTAAGGAATTATTGTGCACCTTTTTTGTTTTGTATGTTCTAAATTTCTAATGGTTTTAGGAAGAAAATACAAAATATAGATCATACCAGACCAATATAGATTAGAACAAAGTTTTGTGCCATTCTTCTTGGGTTGTTGAGTTTTGTAATCACTTTCCTTTTCTAATTTTCTTCTATCTTATGTTTACAAATCACCAGAATCTTGAAGACAAAATCGCAACACATTCAATCCATTTTTTTAAAAAAAGGAAGAAAGATTATTTACGTACTACTAAATTACAAACAATATAATTTCATTCAGCTATTTACCTAACATCCAACAAAATCTTACACAAACACAAAAGTACGCACACACAAATAAGTAAAACAAAAATAAAAGAAAGACGAGAAAAGCAAAACACTATAACTATACCATTTCAATTTTCTCATCTTATTTATTGAAGGCTAATTTTTTCCATAGACAATGCCTCTAGCACCTCATCTCATGATTTGGTTCTGTTTAGGACTCCCTTGCCATGGTATTCGTGGTCAACACCATATCACTACTTCCTAGTGCAAATTTGGTCTACGGTGCATATGCCAGACCTGCCTTAGACCAACCAAAATTACATTCCAGCTGCTCATCAGTAACTAATTTTTTTGCATAAAAACACCCAAATCTTACTTATGACACCCTCTCTAGTGTTACAAGCACAAGAACGTTGTAGACGAACACTTATCAATACAATCATATCATTGCATATGAAAAAACAGTTCGCTTCTGTCATAAATTAATTCTCTCTTAAATGCCAATCAAATATGAAATAAAAGAAAGGGAAATGATGCCCATGTGCATATGAAAAAACAGCCAAACATAACATACCTGAGGCAAAATAAGCCTAAAAGTATAATACCCTGATCAAACTACATTGCCAATAGTGAAATTTTCGTGCTTGGCAAGGAAGAAAGAAGAAACCAGAACACAAAAACCAATATTCGTTTTCTTCCTTTTTTCCGAAGCCTGTAAACCAGGCAGAGCCTCATACCCACTCAATCCTCTGGTGGAGGGTTGTCCCTCAAAATGAACCTAAAGGATTGAATCTATTCGTGCGTATGATCAATACCAGAAGAAAACTTGGAAATTTATATTGGCTATCTCACAAAATCAGGGAAAAACAAAACACACATACAGGTGTCAGAACAGCCACACAAACACACAGAGGAGCAACTAACCGGAGCTGGATGTCGACCATAACATGAAGCAAGGAGCCTGTGATGCTTCCCACACACACACGAGAGAGAGAGAGAGAGAGAGAGGGGGGTTTATGAGGATAGGATGAAAAGGGTTCTTTCTCACTTCTGAAATGCCAATGGCCTGAAACGGAAGAAGTAGAAATTTGGCTATCCTGAGGATTAAACCTTAGGATTGAGGTTTAGGGTTTTTGACATTCTATTAGAATTAGAAGAGATTTAAATAAAGAAATATTATAAGATTTAAATATAAGAAGGCGAACAAAGTCATCTATTTATTTATTTGTTCAAATTTGCCCCCACAAAAAAACAGTTCGTAAATATTTGTGAATATTTTTACATTTTAGAAAATAAGTATAACTCTTTAATAAAATAAAAATCACACTCAAATTATTATCGGAGCTTTGTTCTTTTTAAGTTAAACTTCATTTACACTCTTTAGAGTTATCTATATATTAAATAACACTTTCTATATCTTTTGAAATTATACTAACACCCCTCAATGAGACCCCTCTACTATTCTAAACATCACTGATACCTCCTGCAATTAAACTACGATTTCCAACCCAAAAAAATGCTGTTAAACCACGATTTCTATGCCAAAAAAAATGCATCTAACATATCAACATTACCTCAACATAAATTTCAAATAATTTTTTTACATAAAATTCATTTTTGTAGATATTAAAATTCATTTAAGCTCAACTTGAGTCGCTAGCGCCGATTAAAATTTATTTTTCTATGTATTAAAATTTAAACCGATTAAAATTAGATTCAAACTAATTAATGTTTATTTTTTTATGTATTAAAATGTGAACCTATTTTGTTCATTCTTTTACGTATTAAAATTCGAACCGATTTAAGTTTAACCTGAGTTGCTAGCGCTAATTAAAATTCAATTCGAGTCGATTAAAATTTTTATTTATTAAAATACGTGTCAATTAAAATTTGATTCAAGTTGGTTAAAATTTCTTCTTATTACGTATTAAAATTTGAATCGATTAAAATTTATATTTTTTTATGTATCAAAATCCAAGGCGATTAAAATTCAATGCTCGAATTTTAATACGTTAAAAAATATAATTTTTAAAATATATCATGGACAATTTCATAAAATTATATTATAGTTAATCCAATGAATCTGACAGGGAATACCAACGAAGATTTAGAAAATAAAAAAAAAATTCCACAAAATTTGGATATATTATAAACAAAAAAAAATTAACGAGGCTTTGTTACATCTTCATACCTTAGTTTTGTCTTCACAGACTTAGTTTTTTTCAAATAGGTGGTCAAGTTATAAGCCGGTGCAATTGAAAGGTATATTCGGCATAAAATACAAAATTTAAGTCATGATTTTCACTTTTTAGCTTGTCAGAGACTGCGGTTAACGGCAAGGGGGGGTGTCGTTGATTTAACAGTAAAATTTATAAGGGAGTGTAGTGAAATATCAAACGAAATAGGAGATGTCATTGAATATACAAATAACTATAGGGGATGTGAGTGAAGTTTACCCTTTTATTTATAAATATTAGGGTTAATTACATTTTGTTCCCAAAAAATTTTACATTGCATCCTCAAGCGAAAACTATAATCGATCATAAACACCCATGATCAATTATAAACTTTCGGTATCACTCTCACCCCTCAATGATCGATCATTTCTTTTAAAAATTATAACTTTTATATCAAATAAGTTGTAACTTAATATTAAAAAATTATAATTTTTAATATAGTACCAATACTACCGTAGCATTTCCCATTGGAGGTTACTAAAATGATGCGTGGTATGAGTAGACAAAATATAGACGTAGTAGGAAAATATGAAAATATAATATATAATACCTTCTAAAAATGTCAAAGACTACAATACAAAATTACGACTCAATGGTATTAATTACAATTCAATGAAAAATATATATGATCCACAAAGGTAGGCTAAGACTCAATTAAGCCAATTTATGATTTAAAAAAATATAGATTGATACTAACCGTTTGTGGTCGATCTCTAACGATTTGATTGAATTTTAACGTCAAATCATAATTTTTATACACTAGCGAAAAGTGGCCTTTCGATATGATAATTTATCCCATTAGGTTTTTATGTCTAGTAAAATAAGGTGTAACTTAATTTTACCAAGAAAGAAGGAAAGAAAATGAGATTAATACTTCTACCTTTTGTCACATAAGAACATTTCTAACAAGGTTTTGTATTTTAACTATTTAAAAGTGTATTTTTTCTATTTTACCTATTCATTTTTTCAATACAAATTCTAATAGATTTTCTATATTTTAACTATTCGTTTTAAATATCATTTCTTATATCTTGTATTTTTGTTAGGACTATTAAAGGGAGGGACAGAGAGAGAGATAAAGAGTAGACAAGAGGTAAAAAATAACAAGAGGAGAGAGAATATATTATAAGTTATTTATACATAATGCTACAATTATACTCCTAAATATAGATCATCACTGTAGTAAAAATTTATTTTAATTATTCTGAACATCTTCAGTTGGAGCATGTTTTTTGTCTTTGAATAGTTAAAATTTAGTTATTTTAGAGTTTTACTCTTTCTCTTAAAGATGCTCTAATTCTTTCAATCTCCTAACGCTCTCGCGCT